TAAGTGATAAGTTAATAGAAATTTTAATTGTTTTATTAAAGGAATTAATTTTTATATATTGGAGAAAAGATAGTAATGTTGATTAGGTGGTAATGTAGTAATAGATTAAAAGGTTGTTATAGTAAGGAATGTTCTTAGAATTAGGTGAAGAATTAGAATCTAAGAACAATTGGTTAGTTTCTGCAAGTATGTTTATCATTTTAGGCTTGGCTCGCACAGCTGCGAAAGATACTGTAGTCTTCCCTATACATTGGCCTGACTGTCATAAACCCAGTCTTCTGCATAGGTCATATAACTTAAAATTAAATATATAAAACTATTTTTAAAGTTTTAACAAAAAAATTTCTTATTATAAACATACTTTTTTGCTCACATACTATTTTACCTTACTTTAACTCTAATTAACAAAAAAAATATTATTTTAATTATAACTACAGTAGCTATGATTACAAATATATTAATTAATTTATTTTTATTTTATTATTTTTATTTTTTTTATTTTTTATAAAAAGTAATTCAATTTTTTTATTGTCTTACTAATGATTTTTTAAAGATTTTATAATAAACTATTTAGTAAAATAGTAAAATTTTAATATAATTAATATAGTCAACTTTTGTAAGTAAATACTATTTATTTCTCTATAGCAAAGAATAAATAAATTAGTAATGTATATTATTATTTAAAATAGATAATGTTTTGTGATATAATAAGTCATTTTTGTTATAAAAAAATTATTTATTTTTTTATAACTATTATGTTATTTATAGTTAATCAATTACAAATAATTTTATTAACCAACTAGCAATATTATATTTATAACAACTTCATTGCTTGCTTGCAGTTTTGAATTATTGTTATATATTCATTCAATATAGTTGTGTACTAAAATTAATAAAAAGTATATATTGTAATTAAGAATTAGCAAAAAATACTAGTGTAAATGATTATATGTTTAAAAGAATGCTGGCTAGCCAAAGGTAATAAAAATCAATTCAATTAAAGAACTTTAAGTTTGCAGAATATTTTGTAAGTAATTTGAGCTAAGTAATTTGAATTAAAACAATAATATACTCCCAGAAAATTAGCAAACAAGTATCATCATAATAATAAAATGAGTAAAAAACAGCATCAGCTGATGATTTTCTACCTGCTCAAAGCAGGCAAGCTATTAAATAAAAAAATAACAGAATTAGAAAACTACTGTGTGGTGGGAAGAGTTTGGTTAAAAAAAAGATAGTTGCAATGCTTAATTATATTGAAAGTAAACAGAGTATTGTAAATTATTTTTAGTTTCTTAAATACTAATTGTGGTCAGTGTCTTTTAGTTATATCAATTTATTTGTATAAAATTTCTGCAGTCTGATGTTTTTTTCAATTCCTAACCTATATTATCAAGACAGAGGTTGTAGCACATAGTGTATAACTTTAACCATTCTTCTCTAATCTTTTTGATCTGTTAACCCTTGTTAACATGCATTAATAATTTTTTTAATTAACATGTTAAGACAGAGCACAAATACTATTTTATAGAATACAAGTATGATTGATAGGTAGTAATTATTCACATTTTATTTTTATAACTGGTAATTAGAACATGATTATGCAGGCAGCTTCATTGTCTATAATATGCCAAGATAATAGATTTGTTTGTTTTATTCTTACTTTTATTTCATAAAAAAATTTTCTTGCCGCTATTATTATAATTTTTGAAACATCTAATAAAAATTAGCCAACTGATTTTTAGCTAATCCAGTTAAGTTATTATCTTGACATAATAGATTCAATAAAATTACAAAATTGTACATATGCATGTATGTATGTACACATGTACATAACTTTTGCATTAAATAGTGTTGATTATTGCAACAGCATTTGATGCTTAAGAATATTTAGTATTATTGTTATTTATTTGTCATTTTAATATCATTTATAAAAATATTTTTATAACTTGTCATTCGCCATGGTTTTGTATAAATTTTTTTTATAATAAATGACTTGTCATTTTAAATGACATGTCATTTATAGTCATTTTCATAAAAATTTTTATGACCTTGTCATTTACCATCACTGAAATAAATTATATCCCACTTATTAATTGACAGCCGGAGACTATTTCCTAACTGAGTCTGAGTCTTGCAAAAATAACACGTAAAATCACCATAAAAAAAATAGTAAAACGATGAATGACCTTATTTGATGGTTAGAGTTAGGGAAAGTGCTAATATTTTCTTTCTTTGACGTTAGAGTAGAAAAAATAATTTGGGCTTGCTTACTAACGACTTTATTATATTAAACATTTAAAAAATTTACTGTACAGTATTTTTCTATGTTCAATAAACAAATAGACCGAACTTGCAATAAAGAGAAAATTCATCAAATTAATTCCAGGTCTAAGATAAAATTGTAAACTCCGGGTCTACGTTAAAGGACCTCTATAATAAGTCATATGATGTCATTGTCCAACTTGTCCACCAAAAGTTTATCACGGTCATACAAAAATAATATGCAAATCAACGATAAAATATTAATGAATTCAACTGACTCTTGATATAAAAAAAGTCATCGAGTCCAGCAAAATCCTTCTTATATCGAAACTTTCTTATATCGAAGACTTATAAAATTTTCGAATAGAACTTGTAAAATCTTTCTTATGCCAAGAGCTTCTTATATTGAGTATATCGAAGGTTTTATACATGGTTTTTTGTGTAATCGGATAAACTTTTGGTGCTGAATGTACATACCTGTATACTGTATCACTACTAAAAATAAAATTACATAACTAAAAATTACTACTGTATTAAAAAGCTAATATGAACTTTTTTATTTTATTTTACATCCACACGGCCGTCCTGCTCCGAAAACTATATTAGTAAATAACGATACCCAACTATAACGAAATAAAGGGTATAATCGCAAATGTTTACATACAAATAAAATATCTGGTGATGTACCTGGCCTTAATAATCTTCTATTTTTTTATTTATTTATGAATCTACTATTTTACAAAACATGGAATTAATCTTCTACATAAAATGATCATGAAAAATTTTCGAAAATATCTAACTACTTTTTTAATATTATATTTAATACTTTTTGTGACTTGTTATGCCATTATTCCTAGCCCTCGATACCAACTTACAAGTTCGTTGGTTGGCACTAAGCTTTATTTTTTCGGTGGTTGGAATCAATCATTACTTGCAACTAATGAAGTCTGGTATCTTGATTTATCGAATTCATTCAATACAGCTACACCACTATGGAATAAAGATTCATCGATGCCAGTAGGATATATATATGGAACTTCATCTGTTAGTCCAATTGATAATTCTACTGTTTATCTAATTGGTGGAAGAACATTTAGTTCGATGAATACCTTTTATTTTCCTTCAGAAGTATATGTTTTTAATTCCAAGACTTCACAATGGACGACACCAAACATTATTGGTTATAATATTAGTTTTAATACACGTAATTTAATGACATCTGTTATTGATAATAAAGGGAGCATATATATTTTTGGAGGAGCTAATAGCTCAATGACTGTCAATTATAATGATATGAATATACTTGATATTACTAATATGACATGGACAACAAAATTTCCATCTCAAAATATTCTTCCTTATTTTGCATATGCAGCTGTTTTATTACGAACTGGTTCAATTGTTTATATTGGAGGAATCGAAGGTTCTTTAGAAACTTCAATTAATATGAATCAGATATATGTCTAAATACTCTTTCTTAAATTTTTTTCTACGGTTAATTGTTTTAATTGATTACTTTTATTTAAAACTGAAATACAGATCAGACTATTTGACACAAAATCTTTTAGTTGGAGTACAAAAGTATGCACAAACAATTAGTAAGAAACAGTCTAATTTTCGTAAAAAAAAAAAAAAAAAAAAAAACCAGGAATATTATCAATTAAGTCATTCATTAGTAATGAAATAAATATAAATTGCGTAGATTGCTATTGGTGATTATATTGGACCTCGAATGGGACATTCGGCCATCTTAAGTATATATCAGCATGTGATTTGAAAATTTATAGAAATAAAGTTAGATATAAAATTAATATCTATTTTGTCCATAGCACAAGATGGAAATATAATTATATACGGAGGTTCATTTGATCATAATAAAGGTCCACAAGTATCCCCTGACATGGCAGTTTTAAACACAAATGCCTGGAATTGGACTATCCTGAATAATACTCAAATAAATGCTCCCCCACCTCTTACATTTCATACTGCAGCAATATATGAAAATTTTATGATTATCGCATTTGGTAATGATTGAATTGCTAAAATTTATTTAATGGAATTTATAAAAAAATACTCACTTTATATTAAAATTAATGCATTTAGGTCGAATTACAACTTTATCGGGCGAAGTACTAAATGGCAACATTTATATTTTATATATAAAAAATTATACCTGGGTTACCTCATTATCGATAAGTCAAACTACACCTTCAATTACAAATACTCCAACAGGTTTCTCTAATAATTCATTGTATATTGGAGTTGGTATTGGGATTGGTGTAGTAATTCTTCTTGCAATTTTTACATTTGTTGGATTTAAGTTTTATAAAAGGCGTCGTAACGCTTCAAATGCAATTCCAACACCTGGAAGTACCATGCTTTATGAATACTGATGGTTAATTAAGAAGTTTTTTAATATAAGTGCTTTGTAGATTTTGGAAATATTAGGATCAGGGTTGACATTTTGCTATATTTTTTCTATTGGCATATAATTCATCTTTTTTATTTTCTATTGTTAATTTTTTATTTATTAATTAAATATAAAAATATTTTAAATTTAATATTTTACTAATGCTCTATCAATATGTATTTTAATAATTATAAATTATTCCTAAAAAAATTTTTTTATATAAAGACAAAAAATTAAGCTTTTATTCTATTGACGCAACTAATTTGCTATTTGCAATATTAATTTTGAAAATCCATCACTTATTAAAGGTTATAGAATTACATATTTACAAACTATAAATAAATGATGGATGATTGTCTCCCAAAAGCAGGGCCTCCTCCTCATTTTTTCCTTTTAAAAATCGTTCTGGATTCATAACTTTAAGTGTATTGATTCCATATAATAAATAGTATAAAATTATTGATAAGGCTATAGCAATAAATAAACAAAGTATAGAAATAGCATTTCCAAACTTATAGTCCGGCGCATCTTGAGATCTATACAAATGTGAGGATATCATTCCACCAATGTTGCCGCTAGCCACTAGCAATGCACAACCTACTGCGCGTTTCATGTCTCCTGCTAAATTGTTTGCTAGCCTTTTGAAATTTAGAGAGTAA